ATCACTGGGATTCCAGCCTTGAAGGTTGTCGATGCCCCAACTGCCACAGTAAATCCATGCTCATGGGAAAAGGAGCTTTCCAGAGTAAGAGACTCTGAAAACCTAACCAGTTGAACATGAAATGCATTATTTACCATTCTGTCATGTTGTAAAGAAGAAATATTGCACATTAGCTTATGGACTACAGAGTGATCCAAATTTGGCCTCAAGAGCTCTTTCCACACCTGTTGCCCAATATTTTGGACTTCTGAAAGGGAATGAAGAGAACATTGCCCAGAAACAGCACGTCTGTGCAGGCATGTTCTTGGAATTGGTTTCTAAATTGAGAACCTGAAGATAAGCTGTCGCAGTCAGCTCTTGAGCAGGATTCTAACTGTGACCAAGAAAAGGACCCTTTAAAAAAAAAAGGCAGGAAGTATGCGGATGTACAGGAAGGTCTTGAGAACATCAAGAGCTCAGAATAAGACTGAGGCAGAACTGAATCCTGGATGCTGGAGCAAAGTGAAATTGCCTCACATCTCCACACATTTACAGGGACCAACATAGTTCCACAAATTTGAGGAAAGTTCAGTTGTTCTATAAGACCTTGGAATACAGTTTCAGACACCTCTAAATGCCGGCTTTTAGGGTCTCCCTGTGTGGGAAGGCCAGCTTGCACTATAAAAAGCATCAAGAATCATCAACTTACTGGAAAGTGGCAGTGTAGGGAACAGTGCCTGCAGTGTTGTCACAGTCATGTTGCCCGACAGTCAGAGGGACATTGGAAAGGATCTTGGCAATGTTGACTTCAAAATCCAAGCTTAAGATTTTGCTAATGGTTTTCTTGCGTGAAGGCAACTATCAGGTAACGATTGTAGTAAATGGTTCTGGGCTCTTTCAAGCCAGTTGTCGGGGGCAAGCTTTTGCAGTGGAGCAGAGTAGATCTTCCCTTTATCCTTGGAGACACCACAGATTGCCATCAGGAGAGAAGGCCATGAAATAGGCAAGTTCTGCCCAGCCTCCAGTTCCAACAGTTTCAGCATGAGTGAGCCAGTCGGAATCCTTGTGAGTGGGAGGTTCCCTCCAACTATACAGAGGCTGTTGCGACAGGAGTGGTCTTGCAGCTGAACTCCACTGCATTGACCTGTGTATTTTAAACTATTAACCATAATTTGTTAGACAAGGAATAGTTATTTCTGGACCATCAATTACAAACAGGGCCAGTCCCCCACATTCACTCTGAGGGTAGTGAGATTTCCACCCCATTGAGGAAGGGCAAGTTAACCCAAACTTGGAGCAGCACAGACAGGTGTCATGAGCTCTCAGGATCAGGAGTACAGTGGTGCTGATGGTACAAGTGACCACTGACTTCCTTCTTCAAGTGCTACAAGATTGAGCAATAGTGGTGTGCCAGTGTGAACCAACTAGTGCAACATTAGGGGGAAAGAGTAGAAAGTGAACAAGTGGTGCTCATGCTCCATTTTCTAGGGGCAGTACATGAATTGGTTAAGCATGTCAAGTCTAGTGACAGCTAAGATAGTAATTAACCCTCAATGGCTAAAGCTTACTTCAAACAAGGGCTACAGGATTCAGATCACAAGGGCTGGCACTACCACATGTTCTCTAAACCAGCTCTTAAGGGGGTTAAATCAGGAACCAGCTGGCTTACAAGTTTCTCCCACTTGTTCAGGTGTTGCTCCTTTCAAGAGACCTTGATGGGACACCCCTGCAACACCAAGTCCAGGTTCAAGATGACCACTGGTCAAAGTGGCAACCCAATCTGGAAGACCAAGATGCTTCTGGTACCTAAACAGCACCATATACTTACTCATATTGTCTGCTGCTGAACTCTCAACCTGGTCAGACATGGTTGAGGTTAAGATGTTTCTTGCTGAAGAGGAGGTAAGTGTTCTATGCACCTGCAAAACAGTTCCACAGCCAAAGTAGTTATTTTAAGAGTGATCCCTTTTCTCATAGGGATGCCCATATTAAAATTTGGAAGATGTATTATTTTACATTAGTGGTGAAGCACCAAGCCAAATATCTTTGAGTCAAACATCAGTTTAAAAAAAAAATCTGCAGCAGTGAAAACACAGGCATAGCTATAGCTAAAACTCGGAAAGCGTATGCTTATAAATCCAGGGACGGGTGCACACAAAAACAATACACAGCTCTTTCGTTCAACAAACCTAAAAAAAATACTAAACCGCTCCTTAAACATACAGTACTCACGGTGGACCTGTTTCCGCCGCCCTTCAAACTCCAACCCCAAAACAACCAACCACACAGATTGTACAGCTGCCCCCTCTTTTAATACTTGAGCTCCGCCCCGTGTGAGTAACGCAGGCCAATGACGTCAGACAGACGATCACTCTACCCTGAATCAAGAAGACTGTCACGGGGTTTCAATATTGAATCAGAAACAGCAGATTTCGCACAGGATAAGGACAGCCAACATCGCACTGTAGTGCAGTACAACGAGAAAATACCCGCCGTTTGAAATGCTCCGTTTACGAATGTGAGCTGTATATAAATATATACGTGTGGACAAGTCAGTGCGCGGACTGTGTACCGAGAGTCTCATTCCACATCACAGGTCTACACAAAGCCGGTGAGCCAGCGACTGACACAGGATTGCAGAATCAGGTCAATAGTGCCCTTGAGCTAGTGATTCTGTACTGCATATATTGTCAAACAGAGCTTTACTCTGTGTTTGTTCCAAATATATAAAATACAAAATGTGTAATAAACCACATTTATTCTGGAGCCCCTTATTCTGGAAAGCTCCTTTTCCTATGAGCATGAATTTACTGTGGCAGCTGAGACATCAACAACCTTTAAGGCTGGAATCCCAGTGATCGTGGAGAATGAAACTACAGTCACCCTTGATGTCAGTACAACTTATACCTGGAGCTTTACACAGACTGAAAGGAAACAGGTAGGTTATCAGTACTAGATATACCTCAGCACCAGAAATGCTTATTAAATCTCCAGTCAGTAAATTTGTGTGTGGGGGACAACTTCTATTCTTTTTCCACTCTATACTCTTTCCAGGAAAGTTAATCATCTCTTCACATCCACAATAGACCATACAGAAGTCACTCTTACTGAAAATACTTCCCCCATCGTCTTTCTAATGTCGTTTCGAAAAGCAAAACAAAAGCCTAAAACACTTTTTTTACCCCAGTGATCGCCCTGTGTTTGCTGCTTCCTGAACCCGCGCTAGTTTAACAGCTGCTTCTGATAAAATCCGTCTGTGTGATGTATCAGAATAACGGTGTCAAGAGGAAGACTAATCTGTACTTCAAACTTAGAAAAATGATCTATCTTTGGGTTATATATTTATTGGGTAATATTAAAAAAATGATCATTGCATCAGCACACGTATTACACAGCGTCCCTTTAATTTGTTAGCAATATAATTCGGGACTTCTATTAAACATTTAGTATTTTGTAAATTTGGAACACATAGGAAAGCTCTCTTTGAGAATATATGCAGTACAGAATCACAAGCTCAAGGGCGCTATTGACCTGATTCTGCAATCCTGTGTCAGTCGCTGGCTCACCGGCTTTGTGTAGACCTGTGATGTGGAATGAGACTCTCAGTACACAGTCCACGTAAGACTTATCCACAAGTATATATTTATATACAGCTCACATTCGTAAACGGAGCATTTCAAACGGCGGGTATTTTCTCGTTGTTGTACTGCACTACAGTGCGATGTTGGCTGTCCTTATCCTGTGCGAAATCTCCTGTTTCTGATTCAATATTGAAACCCCGTGACAGTCTTCTTGATTCAGGGTAGAGTGATCGTCTGTCTGACGTCATTGGGCTGCGTTGCTCACACGGGGCGGAGCTCAGGGTTTAAAAGAGCAGGCAGCTGTACAAGCTGCGTGGTTGGTTGTTTTCGGGTTGGAGAGGTGAGGTTGTTTTTTAAAAGTATTTTTAAGTTTTTTTTTTTGGAACGAAAGAGCTGTTTCATATTTTTGTGTGCACCCGTCCCTGGCTTTATAAGCACAAGCTTTCTGGGGTTTAGCTGTGGCTATGCATGTGTTTTCACCTGTTTTTAACGTTTCAAAAGATTTCGAAAAAAGGATGGTGCCTCTTTCGTAGTCTAACGGAAAGTGCTATCCTGACCTCTCAAGCAGTTCATCAGTGCGTCTGTGTTTTAAAAACTTTCTCATACTGTGGGGTCAAATAGAATGGCTAATATATCCTAAGCAAGTGCACTTTCAATGATGGTTTTTACTCGGAGGTCTGAAGAGGGCTTTCTTAACCTCGGGCAATCGAAAAGTGGAGGTCAACAGCGTGAGGGACTGGTGTACTTGTCTTCACTGTTTCAAGATCTGTTCCTTTTTTTA